AAAAAGAAAAAAAAAACAAACAAACAAACTAAGAGATAGAAGGAAAAAATTGCAACTTCAAATTTCTAAATTTTTAAAGTTATTTTTGAAATTTTACAATTTTCATTTGACACTCTTTCTACCTCAAGGTCTAACCGACTAAAATAACTAAGTCATCAAAATCATTTCTCATGATGTTCACTAGTATATTAAATATTAGAATACCTCTTATTAGCCCGCCGGTGTAAATATCTTCTGCAGATGCTGTCATTATTTCCCATACAAGAGCGTGTATATCTTTTGAGACAAACCTATAAAGTTATAAAGTTACAAAAAATAATAATTATAAGTAGGTACAAGAGAACTAATATAAATACATGAAGGAAGGAAATCAATTTGAATGCGAATTTTGGTTCTTAATCAGTGCACAATTTCATGATTTTCATGGATCTATTCATTAAATGCTACTTTTTATATTGGTCCTTTTATTTCACATAAACATTTTATATTTGCAATAGCTAAGCACATAAGGTAGGAAATCTGGGTAGGGAAATAAATCAAAATTATGCAGGTTGTTGAGTAATCTACATTCCAGCAAAAAAATATACATTTCTTGTTTCGTCCTTAGGGTACGGAAATAAATCAAAAATTATATAGGTTGTTGATTAATCTACATTACAACAAGAAAGTCTACATTTCTTGTTTCGCCTCATCATATCATAAATAAAGTTTAACGTCTCTTTCGTTTCCCGATTCTTCTCTTAACAGTTGGTCTGCTTTTCGGAATCCAAGTTTAAGTCATGGAGATGCAGAACGAGCAGAGAAGATGTACATATATTAACATTTAACAAATATGAACTTACCCTCTTAAACGGTTCAGTGCATTGACTGACTCACTCCCACATCCAAACACTTCTTCATTTACATGGACCGGCGAAGAAAACTCATCCCCCACAACCATCACACCGTATCGCTACCTCAAAAACAAAACAAAAAAAAAAAACAAAACAAAAAACAACAAAACAAAACAAAACAACCAAACAAATGATAAAACACAATACATAGAACAATTCTACTTCAAAAAGAATGATGAAATAATATATTATTTAGTTGGACTTTTGGTATTTTTTCTATGTTTTGAAATTAAGAATTACTTATGTGTTCACGAGGTAACCAGCCACAGATGAATATCGTGGAATGCACTTCATTTCTAATGCGAGGAGATCGAAGAAAAAATTCATTGGCAGGGAAGACAACATTAGATAGATCATCCGACACATTCCGACTTTTAATTTCATCTCGGACATAGGCGACCATTTTCCAACATCTGTTGGTGTCTCCGACTAACGCGAGGAAGGTTGTTCCGATCTCGACAAATTTGCATACAGCATCGTTATTTATCATTTCCAAATCTTTAAGATTAAGATCCGAAACTAAGAAAAGCATTTGAAAAATGCTTTTGCATTAAAAGTACCATTATATGAAACTTACAAATATGAACTTTTGCATTAAAAGTATCTTTATACATCTGCGTTTCTCTCGAGTCAACAGCAACTAAAATATGCGTATAGAAACCTGAAGCCATAGAACTGTGGTCCCATGAGAGGGACCAGCAGTAAAGTTTTTTCTCGGCACACACATATATCACAGTGGAAAAATTAGTTATTTAGCCCCATAGGGCAGAATGCAATATTTAATTATTTAGTCAACACTTCCAGATCGACTTAGTTCAATGCTCAACATTTAACAAAGGCAAAAAAAAATAGTGATCTCATCACTACCAAACAACAAGCATAAAGATGAACAAATTACAGTAGTCGATGTACTTCGAGTTATACAAGGAGGGGACAAGATTAAAGTTGCATATCCCCTTAATTAGACTTCCTTATGTATATTATTAATGTAGCTAACTAAGTAAATTGGTCTTGAAGAAACAAACATCCTCAAATACGTATCAGTAACAGGATGAATGCTCTGCAATCAATTGGTATAAATCCAAGACGGGTAACAACAGAACTAAATAAATTACTATGCTCTATAAGAATGCATCAACTGTTCAAAAAGTGATTGAGTACGCCTATGTGAACAAAAACCTCACCACAACCTAGCCCATGAACAATTTGTTCTTATCCTGAAACAAAAAACATATACATGATGCACACCCTGAATCTGGAATTATTTGTTTTCACTGAAAAAATCCATAACTATGTTATGTTCAATAGAATTAAGAGGAATCAATGGGTTCTCATAAAAATAGCTTTGCTATGAAGTTCAGTAACATAAAAATCTGACCTGCCCATGTTGTTCATCTTCATCCTCCTTTGGATCGTTTAGGATTTCTCCATCACCCGTTGAACATGCAAATCGCTCCTAAAATGAACATGAAATCAATACATAAATATATATATATGTATGTATGTATGTATCTCCTTAATTGAAATTGACCTGTTCATTAGGAAACATATGTTCCTCGTCCTCATCCTCTTCCTCTTCCTCTTCAAGGTCAAGGCATTGAATTCGAGACTTCAGCAATTACTCCAACATGCTTCGAACGACATGCAAATTGCTCCTAAAATGGGAAACACATCTATCAATTTATGCATAACACCCACCCATTTCACATGAATAGTAACAGACGTGCATTGCACGTGCACTAATATTTCATTACTTCAATAAACAAAAATAAGCAAAATGTATTTTATTCAATATGTTACAATTAAATATTCCTATCAATTCCAACAATTTCCAACAATGGGAGCTTCTAATTTTGAAAATGTCAGTCAAACTCATTATTCCTATTTAACGATTGAGGCTAACAACCTATTTGGACACTTGTGGTTTCCCCTAAAAGAATGCAAATACGTATAAATCCAGACCGGTAACAACATAATTCAACGAATTATTATGCTCTATAAGAATGCAACAATTGTTTAACAAGTGATTGAGTACGCATACATGAACAAAAACCTCACCCAAACAAACACAACCTAGACCATGAATATTTTGTTCTTATCCTGAAACGAGAAACATATACATGATACACCCCCCGAAATTTGGAAATAGTGTATTTCACAATGTTCTAAAAATCGGCCTAGGCGCTGCCTAGCCGCTAGGCGGCGGTCCGCCGCCGCCGATTTTGCTAAAATCGGCCATAAAAATCGGCCAGGCGGAGCTAGGCGATGACGGCAGCTACACAGTTTCGGCGGGACTAGGCGGCTGAGGCGGGTTCTCGGCGGTTGAGGCAGGTTCTCAACGGCTTTGACAATTTTTTTTTTTTAATTACTAAACGACGAAACAACGTCGTTTAGTTTAGATCTTAATAAAAAAGAAAAGGCTTAATTTGCACTTAATGGGCCAAAGAAACCAAACAGATTAAACACTAAACATCGTAATAAGCAGAACCAGAAGAGAATAGAACAGAACTGAACTGTAAACCCTCGTCCACCATACTCTCGTTCAGCGACCTCCAGTCTCCATCCGCTTGCGCCGGACCGCCTATCTCCGTTCGCCCCTCGTCCGCCAATTGCCAATATTTGAACATTAACCATTACTCAGCAACCTCTCACTCATGTACTAATACTATTTTAGACTTAAGTTTCTGTTTTGATTTTTGATTTGAAAACTGAAAAGAAAACTTAGAAAAGAGGATAAATCTGTAAAGACCAAAGAATGGATGTATGTTTATGTTTATTACTTTATCATTTTATTCATATTGTATGGTTATAGTTAAAAGTTAAATCACAGCTCATTATCACTCAATTTCACTTTTCATTTTTTTTTTTTATAAATTAACTAGGGTGATAGCGTGATGCTGCACAAAAAAATGAAAAATGGGATATTATGAATTTGTGATTTGTGAAAGTCCAAAAAATTGACCATCATGTTTGAGTTTTGACAGCGGCCTGGGCACATGTTTTTTTCATTCCTTTATTTTGTTATTCATTTATTTTATTGTATTATTATTTATGTTGAATTAATTAGTTAATTAGTTGATTTGATTAGTGAGAACTAGTGTTTAGTTGGTTGCTATAATTATATTATGTTGTGTAATGTTTAAAACATAACATATAGTTAATGTGTTTATAAAATTACAATGAGAAGAACTTAGTAGAAATTTAAAACTTTAAATTTGAAAAATGAAAAAAATGATAGTATATAATTTTATGTTCATTGTGTATTTGTGTTCTTTCTTGCAACAACCTTACTTATGTATTTTTCCGATCTTTTGTTTTTAGGTTTTCTCAATGGCAAGTGGTAGTAGTTCGGACTCAAAAAGTATTTAGTGTGATACCCGGACATCCACTAAGATCGAGACCGATTCTCTACTTAAAAGAAAGTCCGATGACATAGGTAGGAATTATGGTGTTCTAGCCGATCCACATAACAAAGATAGGGTTAAATGCTTGTGATATGAGAAAGTCATGTAGGGCGTAAAGGCCTAACCAGAAGAGAAGGTTAAAGTTAGCCACTAGAAATCGCTGAGAGTAGCGTCTCTGGGAGACATGGTCAACCCATCTTAACCTTTACTTGAGCCTTCTCAACTTCAAGAAATGTTGGGACAAGCTACTAAAGAGGCTGAAGTCGGGGGGCTAGGGTTGAGTTGCATTGTTGACTCCCCTCTCCTAGCGTTGAAATCGACTCCTCAGACTCATCAGATGGATAAGAAGCCAGGCTTGATGTAATTAACCTGCCCATAACTTATCAGCGCAAGAAATGTCCAAAGACTCCCATGCTTTCCGTTTATAGCGGGTAGTATGGGATCCGTCGTAGGAGAGAAAATCACCCGTTTGATTGAATATGCTACCAATCAATTTCTGATATAGACTCCCCCCATGGCCACTTGTTTGTAAGTTAGCCCGCTCCCGTGGTAAACTACCCGTAGTCTCGAACTCCCGTCTTCCCACTATGTAAGCTACAACTCGAAGGCTCTCGTTAGCTTAGCTTAGCTTTAGTTAGAGCAATCCCATGTGACTTCTAGTATTTCTTGTTTGCTGTGATTTGGTCAAACCAAAAAAATTTTAGATTTCTACCTCGTAAAAAAAGATTTTTTTGTTTTGTGGGGGTTTTTCAAAGAATGTTTCAAATGAAAGACAGCATTGCGACTCATATTATTATCTTTCGAGTTAGCACGTAGTGGCTTAACCTTCTGTCAGTGGTAGCTTTTGTTGCCAGCTCATTATCTTGGTCAAACTCTTTCTTTAGTGCTTTGGAGCGGTTGGTTGAAAACGTGGTTACGGGATCGTTGGTCGTCTTGTTCTTATGCATTCGGTGATTAGCTCTCTGCCGTTCTACACAATGCAAACAGCGGGGATTTGACGGTGGACTTAAAAAGCCACCTACAGACGCTTTACGCCCAATCATTCCGGATAACGCTTGCATCCTCTCACGACCTGTGGGCCTTCTACCTCCACGCGGCATTGCTCCGTCAGGCTTTCGCCCATTGCGGAAAAGTCTCGGGCTACAATCGCCTTGTTGGATTAGCTACAACCGCACTCCCCTACTGACAAAGCACATTGGTCAAATTTTTTGGAATGTCGTTTCATGTAAGAAAGTAACAAAAGATGATCAAGCCAAATGTAGAAATGTCATCAATGAGTCCAAAGCAAAGAAGGTTAAGACATAAGAACTTCAAGAAGAGTTGCTCTCTTCGGTTAATATTAAAGGGTTGAATTCCTCTCAACAATGCCAAGAAGCTCACTCTTTTGGCTCAATGGATAGATTTGCTACAACTATCAACCCGGATGCATCATTGAATGTGGCAAAGACAATGCGGCAACAAAACATTGGTGATGCTATTTGGAAGGAACGATCCAATTTGGTGAAAGATTACTTAGTCGATTGGGTTTATGAATCCGGAATATCTTTCGATACACTTGATCTCGATAGCTTTCGGCTCTTCACCGAAGCGCTCGGTAAATTTGGCCGAAGTGGAAGCCTCCTAGTCAATATGAGGTGAGAGAACCATTGTTGAAAAAAGCGGTTAAGAGAACCAAACTCAAAGTGAAGCCTCATGAAGATGAATGGAAGAGGAGTGGTTGCTCGATTATGACTGATGCTTAGAGTGATAGAAAGAGAAGAAGTATCATGAATTTGTGTGTGAATTTTAAATTTGGAACAATGTTCTCTCTTCCAAGGAATCTTCCGATGTGTCATACACAAGTGAAATGATATTTGAGTATGTGGATAAATGTATTGATCAAGTTAGGCCCGAGAATGTTGTTCAAATTGTGACGGACAATGCTTCAAACAATATGGGAGAGGCAAAATTATTGCGCACGAAGAGGCCAACTATCTTTCGGACTTCATGTGCCGCACACACCATGAATCTCATCTTGGAGGGCATTGCAAAACTACCCCGGTTCAACAAAACAATTGAACAAGCAAAGGCATTGACCATATTTATATATGCGCATCATAAGACCTTAGCCATGATGGTCGTACACTAAAAGAATGGACATAGTAAGACCCGAGGTCACCCGATTTGCCTCTTTTTTTCTTAGCTTACCAAGTTTGATGGAAAAGAAGACACAATTAAAGGCGATGTTTTCTAGCTCCGAGTGGGATGAGTGCAAATGGTCCAAGACAGTCAAGGGAAAGCGAGTTACAACACCGTGATGTCTATTGGTTTTTGGAATGGTGTGAAATTTTTTTTGACTATTTTTGCTCCTTTGGTGAAAGTTCTTCGTATAGTGGATGCCGATAGAAAGCCGTCGATGGGTCTTGGAAAATTATATTTATTTCTTACGAGTAGTCTTAAACTTGTTTTTAAAGTTTAAATGACTTCAAAATGATTTAGTTTTCATATTAATTTCTATTTTTTTCTTTTTATGCATAGCTACTTGGTGGTTAAATTATGGGTATGGAACACCTAATTTGCAAAGGATTGCCATAAGAATCTTGTCATTAACCACAAGCTCGTCCGGATGCGAAAGGAATTGGAGTACATTCGAAAGGGTTAATTGGATTTATTATGTTTAAATTGTTTTGTTAAATTCTCGCATATTATATAATGATGTTTGTATGCTCTTCAGATACATACGAAAAAAAGGAATCGGCTAGATGTTTCGCGCTTGAAGTCCAATTCAATTCGCGTTTATTGAACAAACGCAAATGGGGGAATGAAAAAGATGTGTTACTTGCTATTGAGGCAAGTAAATCACTAGGGTGGATTATTCCGGGATTAGTAGAGGATGAAGATGAGGGGGTTGATGGACTTGAAGTTGAGAATGACACATCAAGAGTGAGAGAGCTTGAGGAAGAGGATTTTGAATCCGAGGAGGAACAAGCCAATGAGAATGATATTGACCTTGAATCGAATGAAGAACGTGTATTGGAGAATTATGGAGAAGAAGAAGAAGATCCTTTTGGCAATATTTCTTAGTTCTTAGAAGTGTTTTGGATTTTGGTCATGTGGGTTATTTTGAGACTTGGATTTTGTTTTAAGTTTGTTTTGGACTTGGAGTTTATTTTGAGATTGTGGTTATGTGTTTAGTAGTTTTAATGTAGTTATTTTATTTGGACTTAGAGTTGATTTTGAGTTTGTTTTCGACTTGGATTTTGCTTTAAGATTGTGCTTATGTACTTAGTAGTGGTTATGTACTTATTTTGACTTGGAGTTCGTTTTGAAATTGCAATAAGTACAATCTTGTGGTCATGTGGGTTGTTAATTGCTATTATGTTTTTCATTATAATATTATATTAATAATATTACTAGGACTTAGGTGTATGGACTTATTAATTATAAGTTGTATTTTATTAGTGAAATTGTGAAAATAAATAAAAATAATATATCATAATTTCTAGGCCTCGCCTAGGCGCTCTAGGTGCTAGGCGTTGGTCGAGCGCATAGCAGGCGTCTACCGACTTCTAGAACATTGTTTTTCACTGAAAAAATCCATTACTATATTGTGCTCAATAGAATTAAGAGGAATTAATTGATTTCCAAACTGAAAGATACACAGACCAAATTAAACATCACAGTTACAAAGAGGGAATTGTAGTAATTAAAAAAATCAAAAGGAAAGGAAAACAAAATAGACCTGAAGTATCCTGTGTTGATAAAGTGCGATACACACCACTTGTCAAATATTTTGAGGTGTAGCATAGTGTAAGTCGCTGGAAGAAAAGAGAGATAGACAAGAAGTTAGATATCGATAGACTCTATTTATCACAAGACATCGAACAAAACGAATTCAGACGCATGACAATTTGAGGCCACTACACTTTGAGAATACAACCTAGAACAGATGAGAATTTCTATTAAAATTTGAAAAATAAAAAAGAAAACGAAAATTGTGGAGAATTTCAACACCACCCAAGATAATATCCACCTTCTGACTCGTTGTCCTCGCCGCCGTGGATAGAGACTTCAATTGTTGATGGAGGCCTGCATTTTACCACTCAGTCCTGAAATTAACAAATGGAGATTAACCGATGGACATTAGAGAGTCAAAATGATCTTTAGATGCGAAAACCTACGGAGATGATCGCATGTTGCAGCTCAGAACGGTATACAGAGTTAGAGAATGTTAATCTATTGTATTTGTAATTCGGTATAAAGTTGGCGAGAATAGGCACAACTCAGCAAAAGCGCAAATATCATTCTATTGCGACCAACAATGTTTTAAACCCAAGAATTTCATCAGTTGTAAGAACTATGAAATTATCTTTCCATTACTAAACAACATCTTTGGACACTAACTTTCATAATAATTTTTTCCTTAAAATAATAGAATCCATCGGAATGCATATCCTAAAGGGGCAACATCATGAAGCATGCTTCCATCACGCGCCAAACAACACATTTATATTTTGAAATAATAGATAGGAAAGAACTTGCAGTAAGGGCACCATAAATACCACGCCAGAATTTTCAACTGGTGGAAAGCAAAACTATGCAGATATAATCCCAAGAAGAAGTGGATATACGCCACCGGAGACGTCAATTAGAAAAGAATAAAAGGAAATTGCAAAGATATCTCACCACTCGTTCCATTTCGGCTTCATGTTCTTCACGCATACGGCGGTGATATCCTCTCCAAGATTCCTCTTGAAAACTAGTTTGGAAAGAACTCCTACTCTTCCACGTTGATTGAGTACTGCTCAACTTTTGCATCCATCAGTTCAGTAAAATTTTCCACTCAGTAGAATAATTCTTTCTTTCATCAGGAATGACTTTCACCAAAAAAGTGCTACCAAAATCATTAAAAAGAAAAAGAAAAAGAAAAGGTTAAAATAAAGAGGAATATTACCTGCAAAGAGATCCAATCAACTGTACTTGGCAATTGGTAACCTGGCACATTGAGAAATCAAGGATCAACACCATGGCATCTAATGTAAATGGCAGGATTTTTAGGTTTATGAGAAACAAGCTTACTGAAAAGAAGAAAAGGATAATGGAAATATAGTAGAATCCCTCAATCCCACTCTGTCTCACTAACACACACACGCCAGTCTTATAGGCACCAGGAACCCTATACTATACTATGAAGCTTGTCTTGAACGATCCCAACTCATAGACAGTAGCCGCCGTCTCGTAGCCTGCAAGAAGGGCCTGTTATTTCACTTGCCCGGTGAATCTAGAAAAGAGGGTTTGAGGACTGGAACGCGAAGAGCTGATCTGATACGAGAGTAGCGCTTTATGAGGGAATAAAAAGCCTTGAATGGTACTAATACTAATACTGTCGGGCACCATCCTATCCTGCTGTTGTCGGCGAGCTATTTAAGAAGAAGACGATTCGCTATCTCCGATCTACGGCCATAAGCGAACAAAGTCCTCTTCCAAGTGAAGGCGACACTTTACCGCTAGATCCCGGAGAAGGAAGCAGAGATGACGGTCATGGATGAGTGAACTCGATGCTGAAGGTGTAATTGACCTGCGCTTTGGTGCTTTTGGCTATGCCATGTCTTCGGATGTGCTGATGGTTGAACTGAAACTACTTTGTTTACGTTAGGGTTTAATGGAAATTAGCGACCTAGTTGATTTGCCACACACACACACACTTTTTGAGAAGGTAGTAATAATGGGGGTAGAGAAGGAAACAAATATGTAATATCCCAAGTGGACAAAATGTGTTTCCCTGCCCAGACAATAAGACGCATAATGGACAAAATATGTAACATCACAAGCAGTATTTTCAGAACCTAGTAAGTAATGCAAATTCTTCTTATTTTGGCTATCAATTTAGCATAAGTACGATTTTACAAGAGAAAATTTGAACTTGCTCTCCAAATAAAAGTTTGAACTTGCTCTCCGAACCGACCAAAATAAGTACCTAAAACCAAAGTATAACCGAACCGAACTTTTACAAAAATCTAATTTTTTTTGGATTGTTTACTGGGCCTAAACAAGGTCTTCTCATTGGGACCAAACACAATTGTTCATACAACAAAAAATACAACCTAAAAACATATCCAAATTAAACATTTCAATTTCTTATATCTGCAACTGCTAATCTGTGATCACAGGCTAATGTTACTGTTACTTTATCTTAAGCACAACACA